ATGATACAGTGTTTCCTGGGTTACCGCCGTAAACAAAGCAGCGCTGCGCTCATGAACAGCAATGATAGAGTGTTTACCGCCGTAAACAAAGCAGCGCTGCGCTCATGAACAGCGATGATACAGTGTTTCCTGGGTTACCGCCGTAAACAAAGCAGAGCTGCGCTCATGAACAGCAATGATACAGTGTTTCCTGGGTTAAATAAATATAATATATAAATAAATAAATAATAAAATAAATATATCCAAACTTAATTTTTGATTAGTAATATGCATGGCTAAGAACTTCATTTGGACAGCTTTAAAGGCGATTTTCTCAATATTTAGATTTTTTTGCACCCTCAGATTCCAGATTTTCAAATAGTTGTATCTCAGCCAAATATTGTCCTATCCTAACAAACCATACATCAATGGAAAGATTATTTATTCAGAAAAAATGACCCTTATGACTGGTTTTGTGCTCCAGGGTCACAAATCAGTAAAGATTAGGGTTTAGAGGTTTAGAAATTCACATCAAATATGATGCAGTAGCTTTATAGGGTTAAACACTGATGTCTGCTGTGTTTGTGCAGGTGAAGGCGGAGTTCAGTAAGAAGACGGTGATGGTCAGTGTGGACGGGACAGACTCGGACCGCACACACACTAAAGGACGGTGCTTGGATTTGTAGCCTACTTCAATAATGAGATCCAAGAATACTAGAAGTTTTAAAAAATGTAATGTATTTTTTTCTCTCTATTTAACTGCATTACAATGAAAGACGTCTTCCCTCAGGTAGATTGAATGTTGGGCTCATGATCAATAAGTTGTTTGCATTCGCCCAAACTGAATCAAAACGCGGACGACGAAGGGAACTGCCGTCAGCGCGAGACCCGCTCGTTGAGTTGTGAAGCGGGAGCCTGCAGAGGATTCCGCTTGGTCTTAAAGCCTTCCTCAAGCGGCTACTTCACAAATAAAACAATGATTTGCGCAAAAATGATGATTAATTATCAATTGAGAATTTGTTATTGATATGGTCAGGTGAAAATAATAGTATGGGCTGCGAGAAAATTATAAATAAAAAGAGTGGGGCTGCTATGAGTGCAGGCAGTCTAGGGACAGCATCACTGATAGATATATATAACATCTATTATAGATCAGTGGACAGCATCCATATTTTCAACCCCAGTGGCATGACAACACTGCGGCCCTCGCGGCCAAAAAAACAGACCGGCCCACCGGGAATCCTCCCGGTGCTCCCGATTAGCCAATCCGGGCCTGCTGGTGAATAAGGGTATTTTATGTGTGTGGTTAAAAAAATTCGTAC